ACAAATCAGCCTGGGCCCTGCTCCTGGGACCTTTCCTCCTATCAGACAGAGGTTGGGAAGAGGCCAGTGATCTGTGCCCAGAGGCTGGGAGACAGGAGATAATACCTGCTGTTTGTCTAAACTCTAAGGAGTTTCTTCTTTCCTTAATCCCCACCTCTCTAGACAGATCTGCTAATCTGCTTCCTTCTCAAAAGGTGGGTAGTCATTCCCATTTTACAGAAGAAAAAAAAAAAAAATGAGGCTCCAGAAAGTTCCATGCCTCAAATCATTTAATGAGTCCCATGCCTCAAATCATCCAATATTGGATCATTCGATTTCAAATGTGCACCATGCCCAGGAAGATCTATTGGAAAGGGAGGTAGAAAGTAACATCGATAATGACTTAAATGATAATAATATCCAACATTAACTGAATACTAGTCACTCTCATGTTACAGATGCGGAATCTGCAGCGCAGAAAAGTGAAGTGATTTATCCAGAGTCGCAGTAAACGCATGGTTCAGCCTTACTTAGAGCCAGTTCAGCTCTAGGAGAACAGAGCATCCCAGGTCAGTCCCTGCTTCCAGCATACTCAGTGCTCCTCGGTATTTTGTAAGGCTTTCACCTAGTTCTCACCAGCAACCCGGTGGACTGGGCATTAGCATCCCCATTTTCGGAAAAGGGAAACCAAGACCTAGCAAGGTGATGGTGGAAAACGGTGAGTAGTAGGGTCTGGATTTGAACACAGAACTACAGAAGGCAGACCCACAGCTCCTCCCCTCACACCTGCTGCCTCCAGGAACTAGATGTCCCCAAGAACTCGCCACCCTCTCTCCAGGCTGTGGGATCCGCAAGGAGATGCAGCTTCTTTTACCACCACCTCCACCACCCCCATCCTTGTGATGGTCTTCTTCCACGGCCAAGGTGTGGAACTAGGCTTTACCACTGCTGAAGTCAGGCCAGCCTCACTGCTCTCTGCGCCTGGACGACTTCATCTGCGGAATGGGGAGAAAGCTCAGGCTTTGGCTGTGGAGGGCGGGTGGGGGGCGGGCGGGGGCGCGGGGGGCTTCAGCAATCAGTCCAGATTCCAGACCTTAGTGGGCGAGGCGGAACAGGAGAACAGGAAAGAACCAGCCTGGGTTTGCAGAACTTGGCAAGCAAGGCATTGGTACCCCCAAAACCTCCAGCTGTTTACCCCGAATACCTGCCTACCCGACTTGCAGGGCTGTGTAACTCGGAAAGTGATCTCTGTAAACACCAGGAGACCGTCCCCATTCCCACTCCGCAACACACTGGTAAGAAAAAACGAGCTCAGAGAGGAGCAGCCTTTTGGCCTAAGTCACACAGCAAATGGCGGGGAGAGCGGGGTCCGGGGGGCCGGTGAGCGGTGTTTTGGAATGCCTGGCTGTTGTTGGCGCCCGCGTGTCTCCCCGCTTCTGATACCCGGGCTCGGTAGAATAGGCCGCTAACGAGCGCCCATTAGGAGGAATTTTCACTCCTCTGGGAGCGAGGTTGTCCCATTAGGGCGAATTGTCATTCCTCCTGGAGCGAAGTTGTCCCGGCTCCGCGCAGGCTGAGTGCCGGGGCCGAGAGCAATTAACGCGGCTCCCGCGCGGGCAGCCGCCTCTGCCCTGGGCAGCGGGGGCGGGGCGCCCGGCGCGGCTGGAGCCGGTCACCCGGCGCAGCCCCTTCCCCCGGAGCCCGCCTTTCATCTCCCCGCGCCTGGCGCCTGCCCGAAGCCAAGGCCCGTCTACAGCCCCCTTCGCTGCCCCTCCCCCGCCCCTTTCTAGCCGCCGGGATCCAGCGTTCGGCCCTCGGGGTTACAAACGCTGAGGTCTGCGCGCCACGCTCCACAGTTTGCAAGGAGTGTTTTCTCCTCGCGACTCGCTGCGCGCTTCCGCGGTTGCTTCAAGAAGGGGCCTGGCCAGTGTCTCACGCCCCGGGAGGCGCGGGAAGGGGCAGGGCTGAGGATCTGCGCTCTGAGGCCTCTGCCGCGCGGGGGGGATTCCCAGGTCTCCCACTTCTACCTGCGCGACCTTGGGCAAAGTATTAGTGCTTTCCAGCCTTAGGCTTTCATCTGTGAAATGGGGAAAATAATCTGCTAGCAGCGGTGTGTTGAAGAAACAAATAAGATCCTGAATAGGTCCAGGCACTAAAGCATCCTTAAGAGTTGACGCTTCCGGGTGGCTGCGTTCCGATTGGAACCTCACTTTTTTTGCTAGCAAATATTACAGCTACGCATACATTTACTGAGTGCCTCCTGCGTGACAAGGCCAATCCTCCGCTTGATGAGTGTCCCCAAAACAGGACACTTCCCAGACCGAGCCAAATTCTCAGCCCCGGGAATTTTAGAAAGAACCTACCGTAAGCTCTGTGAAAGCGAGCGAGGCACCTTATTTTTCGATATTTGGCAAGGAGAAAGCATTCGATACATTGTGATTGCTTTTGATACACAATAATGTTTTAAAAATGGATTTCCAATGCTTTCTAGTGACTTTAGGTAGCGCATTGAATTAGGGATTATTATCTCTCATTTTGAAGATTAATAAAATGCTGGTCGCAGGAAGCAATTTAGAATGCCCAAGGTCACTCCGCCAGGAAAAGGTGAATAAAACGTTCTGAAAACGCAGCCAAGGATGGAGCAAATGCAGACTTGGCGCTTTCCATAAAGGGATAGAGTTGTGTTGCGGTTCCAGCCTTATCCCAGAAGTGAGCACCTTTCCCGATTTGTCTCCATTCAGTAGAGAGCTGGGAAGGCAGAGAACCCAGGAGCAGGTTGGTTCCCATCTCAGCATCTTTCCTATTCATGGCCAGAGCTTGGCACTCAGATTTTGAACACCAGTTATTTTTTATTCCTGTTTTCCTCTTCCTGGCTTTATAATTTATTTGCCTCTGCCTGAACTGTAGTATTCCAGAGTAGTGAAGGGGATCTGGCTTTTCCTTTCCCAGAGAAGTTCATTAAAAGAAAGGAGTTACAGTGGTATTGATTTTTGTTTCCAATTCAGGAATGAGCCTCTGTGTCCTATAGCTGACAGATATTAACAAGGAGTTTTCAGGAATAATTATAAAACATTGGCTGCGTTCAGCCTAACTGAAAGTTGAACCCTTTTGTAAACTTTGGCAGCTGAGAGCTAAACGAATTTCAGATTTGCTTCCAAAATATATAACCTGCACCTTGCCTTGTACATCTAGAAGGCACAGAACTTAACCTGGATTTACCTGTACTTCATTTGAGATGCATATCAAACCAACTATCACCAGGTATGACTCAAGGGGAAAATGCATACATCTCCAGATAGTTTTTATAGTTTATTTATTCATTTATTTTTGCCTCCAGTTGATTAAGAAAAAGTGTGCATATTCTTTATAGTGGGAGAGAAACTCAGAAGTTTTAGAAGACTGTGTTTAGGACTTATTTACTTTTTTATTTTTTCAGGATCATTTTTAATCAAACCGAATTAACTGGCCTGTGCAGACTGTTTTTAATCCTCTGATACTTTTTCCAGTTCTCTCCGGGCCAGCATAGTTTCACTTCAGGGAAAGGTTTGGGGTGAAGGAAACAGTGCTTCAGAGACTGCACTGGGAAGAGTTTAAGGGTCTGTAGGTCTGGGGGTCAAGTTTCGAATACTCCTGAACTGGGAGGTAGCCTCCAAACCTTGGTCATTTAGAGAATTAAAAACAATGTCTCTTCCCTCCAATGCTCTAGGGAATGTTTACCAAGCATCTGCTGTAGGCGAGGTCCTGAGCCGGGTGACTTCCTATTTACCTCGTCCGTCGCAGGATAATCGTTCAGACATAGGAAGAGACAGCAGCAGCCTAGAATGAGTCGTCTGAAGCTATCGTTTTAGGTCAGGCGTTTTTGCGGACCCGCGGAGAGATCCGGGGCCTCTGTGCCTCGACGCTCTCTCTCCCCTTCCCCAGGCTGAGAGAGTCATCACTAAGGCTTTGGGAAGGAATTACCGAGGGTATAATTTGAGGTGGGGGTGGAGACATCTATGCTTTTATAAAAAACTAGGTGCCATGAATAAAAATATGCCTCCCAAAATGGTTTATAGGCCTAGGGTGTGCAAACTTGGAAGCCGGTATTTCTGAGACTTGCAAACTGGAGGGAGGCACTAGATATTGGCGACTTTTCCTCCTCGCACTCCCCCTCCCCACCGCATTACCGTCCAAGGCAAACACTGGCATTCAAACACAAACGACAAACGCAGGCTCAGACAAACTCACGAACGCACATTTGTACTGTCTTGAGAAAAACGTCGGATCCGGATCTCGCTCAGAAAGGAGATTCAGGAGACAAGCACAGAGATTTCAACTTTTAAAAAGTCCGCTGGATTTTTTTTTTTTTAGTGAGAGATGGGTACAACTGATTTAAATTCTCCCCTCCGAGCTATTTGGGAGAGAGGCACTCCTGACCACTTCTCGGGCTCCTTCCGGACCCTCTTTTCCAGGGGAAAGAGTTATGAAAATAACAGCGGACGCTGTCGAGCGCTGGCTAGTGGCGAGATACTCTTAAGTGCGTACATTTCTTTTCACAGGGATACTGGCCTGGTGAGTTTCAGCACCGACTCTCTGGAGTTGTTAAGTAAGCCAGCTCTGACGCATAGTAGGGACTTCATAAACGTTTCTGTAATGCCGTTTGCGGATCTTGGACGTATTCTGGCGGTAGAGGGAGAGTGGGTTGGTCGCGGGGTCCCTTTTAAAGAAGGGTCAAAAAGAGAGAAGAAATGGGACTCGGCGAACTTCCTCTTTAAATAATCGCTCTTAATTAGGTCTCGGGCTTTTCAGTTTCGGCGTGATTATAACCCTTCAGGGATCGCCTAATAACAACTCTGCTGACTGCTCCTGTAATTAACTCCTAATTTATTTCAAACAGAAAAAAAAGAAAAAGAAAAAGAAAAAGAAAAAAAAAAAAAAAAGGAGGGGGCCCAGCCCCTTCGGGAGGAGCCAATCGGAGGCGAGCGTCCGTGACGTCAGCGCCAGGGCCGGCGCGGATTGGCTGCGCGCGTCTCCCACTTCCCCTCGGAGGCGAGGCCGGGCTCCCAGCGCGCCCCTCCCGTCTCCCCCGCAAAAAAGTTGGAGCCGCCGCTGCCGGGTCGCCCGCGGAGTCGCGCGTTGGGAGCTACGTGGGGCAGGGAAGTCATGGCTTCTCCGTCCAAAGGCAATGACCTGTTTTCGTCCGACGAGGAGGGCCCCGCGGTGGTGGCGGGGCCGGGCCCCGGGCCCGGGGGCGCCGAGGGCGCCGCGGAGGAGCGCCGCGTCAAGGTCTCCAGCCTGCCCTTCAGCGTGGAGGCGCTCATGTCCGACAAGAAGCCGCCCAAGGAGGCGTCCCCGCGGCCGGCCGAAAGCGCCTCGGCCGGGGCCCCCCTGCGGCCGCTGCTGCTGCCGGGCCACGGCGCCCGGGAAGCGCACAGCCCCGGGCCGCTGGTCAAGCCCTTCGAGACCGCCTCCATCAAGTCGGAGAACTCAGAAGATGGAGCCGCGTGGATGCAGGAATCCGGCCGGTATTCGCCGCCGCCCAGTGAGTGCGCGCCTGGGCCGGGGCAGGGGGAGACTGGGCAGACGGGGGCGCGGGGCACTGGAGGGAGCGGGGCGCGGGCGGACCCAGCTGGGGATGCCGAGACCCTGCTGCGTGCGCTCCACTGCCCGGAAAGCAAGCCCAGCGAGCGCCTCGGGACCCTTTGGTGCCCGGGGCGTTTGGCGCACCGTCCGCCTCCTAGACACCCTCTGGGTAGTCACCGCGCTGTGTGTGTCTGAGACGCCCTCGCCGTACAGATTGTTCAACTCTAGAGCCAGCCCCAGCTGGGTTTACGGGGTCGCTTGGTGGTCGGTTTCTACAGCCCTCGGCCCTGCGCTCCTGCCACTTTGGTTTTTGTTTCACTGTTCCCCGGGGGCTCTTCCTAGGGAGTAAAGGAGATGGATCCAAGTTCAATGAGCGCTTGCATGAGCCAGGAACGAGATAGGTTCAAAACTCAACCCTGAGAGGCGTGCCCCCATTTTAAAGATGACCTAACTGGGCTTAACCAGACATTGAGCAGAAACTATTTTCTTTCGTGAGTCCCGCGGGTGTCGAAGCCGGATCCCACGGAGGGACGGTGGCACCAGAGACGGGTGCGGGGAGGAAACCTCTCCCTGTGGTCTCCGCAGCCGGCACCTTGCCAGCGAGGGTTCTGAGCTTCGCCGGGAGCGGGCAGGGGCCAGAAGCGCGCGGGCTCTTCTTGGCTCACAGTAATAATTAACCGCATTCCAGTAGGGCTTGAGAGTTTACAAAGTGATGCTCATTAGCTCACCAGATCCAGATCCCTCTAGAACCCCCAAGTATAGATGCTGGATTTGTGACTAGCCTGTTTTTCAGACGTGGACGCTGAGGCTTTTAAAGAAGACGGCCTTTGCTTCTTTAAAAGCCTCAGCGTCCACGTCTGTTGTTGTCCTTCCCAGGTTACCAACAACCACTGATTGGCCAGGGGGACCTGGTGTCCACGCCCTGCTCCTCTATTTCGTGCCTTGACGGACTTTTGCTTCCTCTCCCCAGAGAGACCAGGTGGAGATCCGCACCTGTACCCCACTTCTACAAGCGAGGCTGCAGATTTCTCCTCCGCTTCAGCATCCATTTTTGGTCCCGGGGTCCTTTTATAATTTGGAGACGTCAGTCTTTACAGTCTCTTTTACTTTTATCTCTTGGCCTTTATGGCTTCTCTACCTCCTAATTTCCCCGTTCCCCACCCCATTCCCTACCTTTAAGAAAGGTAAGGGTGGGGATTGTGGAGGGACCGTCTCCAATGCTGAGAGAGATCCTTTCACTATTTATATCATTCAGCCCTCAAGACTAGACGCACTGTATTTTGTGAACAAAACAAGGCCATACACCCAGGCGTCAATGGCAGTCCCCTCTGGCAGTCTTTCTCCACCCTGTTAGAAACTCTGAAAGATTCAAAGGGTGAGGAGATTAAGGGACTCAAAGAATTTAAACTCAAGTTTGCATAGTGCTTTACAGCACTATTCATGGTATTATCTTATCTCCTCTATAGGGCAGCAGCCGGCCTCTTAACAGCTGAGGACATTTCAGCAAAGTTCAGAGAGGAATCCGAAGTTTGGGCCTGACAAAAAAAAAAAAAAAAAAAAGCTTGGGACCATTTAATGATCACCTACCAGGTGGCAGACAAGGCTCTGGGCACTCTTAAAATTTTAGTACTCTGAACCACATTGAGGGATTAGTGTTACTTACCCAGTTTATTGACAGTGAAGTAGAGGCTGAGAAAATTAAAAGACTTAATTTGTTTAACAGATATTGAGTACATAGCCTATGGCTATGCTCAGCCGAAGGTATAGGCCTTAAATGGAGCAGTGTCCAGAGGTTGGAAATCCTGCCATCCTTAGGCCTGTGAGTCTGGGAAGGTAACGACCCACTAGCCCTCTAAACATCCCTGTCTGTACTCAAGTTTTCCTACTGTTGGTAAGGCAACCTTGGGCCCTGGCTGTGACCTTTCTGTGAAAAGAACTGGAAATTCTGAGAACAAAGTTTATAACCTGCACATTCTGCACATATATCCCGGAACTTAAAGTAAAAGAAAAAAAAAAAAACAAAAACAAAACACACACACACACACACACACACACACACACACCCCACAAAGAGTTGTTGGTGCTTTGGGCCTGGGGGTGGCAGCAGGAGCCCTGTGGTCGGAGCAGTGGGTCCTGAGAATGCCAGGCGATGGAGCCTGGGGCGAGAGGGAGCTACCCGCCCGGGCCTGATTTTGTTATTTGGAGGAAGTAGGATAAATGCTGTTTTGCTTTATATAATCGCATCCTTCCTCTGGCTGGTTTAAAATGGGGGAGGAGGGTGGAGAGGTGGGGAGTGTTGCACTGGGAGGAAGCCTCATAGCTTCATGGTTTTGATACACATGTTCGATCCCAGTCACCTGGATTTCATAATTCAAATATAACCCGTAGGAGCAGCTGGAATTACCCTTTCCAGGTGTGTAGTTGCTTCAAAACCCCACAGAAAGCCAGGAACAAAGGTATCTACACACTAGGAACTTGGTATCTGAGCTGAGACACCTGGGTCCTGCTGAAAGCCAGGCCTATTTTGAAAGGGCAAGAATTTTGCTGGTCTCTTGAGAGTCTCTTGACAGTGTTGTTAATTTGTAAATTAAGTTGGCTCCCCAGCTCTTGATAACTTGGGGATTAGCATATGCAAAAGTATAGACTTTTGTGGTAGTTTCTTACTCCTCCCTCTCCCAGATTTCTGTTCTTTGATTGATTAGAGTCTTTTACCTCTTTTTAAGTCAGTAAAGTGATGGGTAATAATGAGACACTGGGACAGATCCATCTCTTGTTGGAAATGGAGGCTGGGTTGGACTTGTGCTGTGTCACCCTCAGTATGAAGTGTAAACTCTATCTTGGGCCACCAAAGTAACTAAACAAGAAATGTGACATTCTCCCATGAGTACATTGGAGTTAATACTGTGGCTACATTTGGAAAATTAGCATAGCTCATAAAAGCCAAATGCAGAAAATTGTCTAGCATTCTATTACCACAGCTCTATCTCTTCCACCCACGCATCTTTGAGGAAGACAAGCCGAAAGTTAGTTGATGCTGGGGAATCACAAGGATGTCCCAGTCTGTTTGAACTCCATTCTAAATTCGGAGTCTGGATGCTGTTGGCATACCTTTATTTTGCTTGTTTTTCCCCATGACAAACTAATCATTTACACATTTGCCCTAAGCCATAGAATGGGTAGAGGGGATGACTAAGATGTAATCACGTGCTCTCAATTCGGAGGCAGCAAGATTTCCCCTGACATTTACATTTATGGGCTAGCTAATTTTTCCCTTCGTCTTAGTAAAGTTTATATTACAGAAGCACCCAGCCAAGAACCTTATCCCACATCCAGATCTGTAAAATGATGTTCAGATTTTATAATCTGTGGACTGGATGCAATGACAGCTGTGTGGTTGTTTATTATGTGGGACTGCCCCCAAATTCAAAGATGCTATTAATTTACCACAGACCTTATCTGCTCGATTATTCTTTTTAAATATACTGACGCAATCCACTTTTTCTGGTTCAGAGAGGAGACCAAGGGAAACAGCTAACCCAGTTGCTAAGACCTTTTTTATTTTCCTTCTCATATGTGATTGTCTCCACATCTAAGGGAGGCTGGGATAACCATGAACCTGGCCTCTCATTTTTAAAGACAAGAGAAATTATGCTCAGAAGAGAGTTTTATTTCTCACAGAACACTTGATTGCCTTGTCTTACAGTATATATTTCTATTATCCCTAATGCTGTTTGTTTTCCATGTAGAAGGTTCAATTACACCATTAGATTTCCAAACTTTTTGTTAAAAGACTCATTTTTTAAAAATGAAGCAACTTACCCATTTATATAGAGTCCATTTTCCCCCCAAGAAACACACATAATTTTGACAAAGGTACCTTTTTTAAAGATGAAACAAAGTAATGTCTTTGCATCCATAGATATGTATATGTGTGTGTGTGTGTGTGTGTGTGTGTGTGTGTGTGTGTGTATGTATATATTATTTTCTTTTTTAAAGCTAAGTGCTTTCATTTGAGAGGGGAGGCTGGAAAGGAAAAAACCTAGAGAGATGATGGGGGGCAGGCGTTTTATATTATTATTTTAATGTGACGTAGCTTTGTTTTGCTAATCCACTCCCCTCCCTGATTTCTAGGACATATGAGCCCTACCACCTGCACCCTGAGGAAACACAAGACCAATCGGAAGCCGCGCACACCCTTTACCACATCCCAGCTCCTCGCTCTGGAGCGCAAGTTCCGCCAGAAACAGTACCTCTCCATTGCAGAACGTGCGGAGTTCTCCAGCTCTCTGAACCTCACAGAGACCCAGGTTAAAATCTGGTTCCAGAACCGAAGGGCCAAGGCGAAAAGACTGCAGGAGGCAGAACTGGAAAAGCTGAAAATGGCTGCGAAACCTATGCTGCCCTCCAGCTTCAGTCTCCCTTTCCCCATCAGCTCGCCCCTGCAGGCAGCGTCCATATACGGAGCATCCTACCCATTCCATAGACCTGTGCTTCCAATCCCGCCCGTGGGACTCTATGCCACGCCAGTGGGATATAACATGTACCACCTGTCCTAAGGAAGACCAGATCAATAGACTCCATGATGGATGTTTGTTTCGAAGGGTTTCCTCTCCCTCTCCAAGAAGGCAGTACCAGCCGATACTCCTGCTCTGCAAACCCTGCCTGCGCCACCCTAAGCGGCTAGGCTGACAGAGCCACGCGACAAAGTTGAAATTTGTTCTTTAGGCGGAGGCACCAAGCCCTGTTTTCTTGGTGTGATCTTCCAGCTGTCCCCTTCTCCTTTCACAAAGATTGGCTCTGACGGTTTTTATGTATAAATATATATATAATAAAATATAGTACGTTTTTATACAGCAGACGTAAAAATTCAAATTATTTTAAAAGGCAAAGTTTATATACATATGTGCTTTTTCCCCCTATATATCACCTTCCTGAAAGAGACTGCGTAAATCCGTGTGTTGTATTTTCTTAAAGAGGGATACAGATTATTTGCAAAATTTGCTAAAGTCAATGATTTTGATGGGATTATTGACTTCTGCTTATGGAAAACAGATATTAGAATTAGACACAATGCACGTAGAAAGTATTAGATATGGGGCGATTATTCAAAGTGAAGGGGACACATCATATTTCTGCATTTTACTTACATTAAAAGAAACCTTTATATACTACCATATTTATTCATACCTCCCCCCTCCCTACCGCCACCCCACCACACACATTTTTAAAGTTTTTTAAAGTTTTTTTTTTTTTGTAAGACTAATAACTGGGATGAGAAGAATCCTTAGAATACCTGGAAGTGAAAAATAGGAATACTTCCTAATTCTTCTCAAGGCTGTTGCTTAACTTCATTTCAGATAATTGGAGAGTAAAAAGTTAAAGCCTGTTGGAAGGAATGGATGGTTTCTGAGAAATAACTAGGCACATTCGTTCTCACAGATTGCAAAGGTGATTTGGATGTGTGTGCAGGGGTGGGGGGGAGGGGCGGATAATAGTAACTTTCTGCTTAAAAAATGAGTATCTTGTAACTTACCTATATGCTAAATATTGAAAAATTAGTAGATCCAGAAAGAAAAAAAAAAAAACATGCTTTCTCTGTTTGTACCTATTGTATGTCCTAAACTTACTAGGAGATTTTATATACTTTTTAACATGTTGGCAGAAGGTAAAGCCATATTTTGACTTGGTGAAAATGGGGTTGTCAAACAGCCCATTAAGCTTCCCGGTATTTCACCTTCCTGTCCATCTCTCCCTCCCTCCAGTATACCTTTGTCCCTTTGAAAGGGTGCCTTGTACAATTTTATATATTTTATCGAAGAGTTATCTCTTATTCTGAATTAAATTAAACATGTGTTTTATTGCAGTAAAGTTGTCCAAACTCACAATTATTTTAAGAGGTGCTCTCTGTTCTTAGTTAGGCTTAGGTTGAAAGTGCTACCCAGATGAGGGGGAGCTGGTATTTTTTAATGTTTTAATGTAAATCAACCAAGAGTTGTGGCCAGATTCAGCCATGTTGGGGTAATACATGGTGGTGGGGAGTGAACTGAAGCTACTGAAACACTTTGAAATGTTTCCTCTAGCAGCTTGTTACTCATGGAAAAGAGGTGAAATTGCTGCTAGGAGTTCTTCAGAGAAAGTACAGTGAAAGATGAGCTTTACGTAAGTGGTGAGGCAGAGAGATAGGCCAGTATCTAAGTCGTTTGTACATGATCAAGGGAAAATCTTGAACTTGAAATCTCTCCCAGCTACCAAAACATCAAACTTAAAACTGAGGGAAAGGGTCCTTACAGCTATTTGCAAATGGATGTGGTAACCAGACACATTCGCTGGGCTGAGGGACGGATGCCTGCTGCCCTTTCAGGAGTGTGTCAAATCATTCCGTTTAAGATTCCTAGCTCCTTCCAAGGAGACGGACTCCGAACAAATACTCTTCGGTTTGAAGTGGGAAGGTAGTTCATTCAAGTCCTTTTGCAGCCCAGCCTCTCTCCCGGTGGAAACTGGATACAGAACTGTGGTCAGGCTTGGGTTTTGAGGCATCACGATAAAATAGTGATGGGTGGAGGACGCTGAGAAGAATCTTAAACTCAGCTTTCTGTTGCACGAATAAATCCGAACTGGTTCCTGATGATTGATACCTTTCCAGGGTCAGTGATCGGATGAGAGGCTACGGTGACTCAGAACAGAAGCAGAAAGGCTGCGAGGACTTCTTGCGTAAATAGCGCGGTGGGCAGACTGGCATCTGGCACCTACCAGGATTGGCGCTTCGTACCGCGTTTCCATTGTGCTTGCACGCACTTTGAAAGTGGGCGCCGGAAACTCCGTTTTCCTGTGGGGCCAGGGTCGGGCAACTTGGCTCAGAAGTTTCACAAGCTCCAGCGCAAAGGTGATCCAAACCCAGGGGTCGGCTCGAAGTCGGAGTCCGATTTCGTCTTTCTCAGTTGCTCTGCCGGAACTGAGCCGCTGGAGCGACCCAAACCTCCCCGAAAGCGCGTCTCAGCCTTCCCGCTGGACGTCTCCGGCTTGAACTCCTAATCTCAGCCCGGAATTTAGCCATATTCATTTAAGGATTGCGTTTTCCAAAGGCCAAAGCCTTTCCCGATTTCGTCATCACGCGCCAAGTTGGGTCCCCTAATTAGCCTGTCCACCGAGCTTCCTTCCCGGCGCCGCTTGGACCCCGCAGCCCCGGGCGATCTCAGCCCGGGTCTGGGATTCGGAGACGCCGGCTCCGGGTTAAGACTGCTCGTCCCCAGGAGGACGGGGTCGCGATCCAGAGTGCAATTCGGAGAATAGGGGCTGCGTCTTGCTTGGCTGCCGGGGTAGACTGGAATCCGTCTGGGGGACTGCGCACCATCCCCATCGCCCCAGATGCCGAAACAAAACCTGAGGCTCAGAAAGGGGAAAAAGAATTGCTCAGGATCGAACAGACGCACCCCAGCGCTAATAGGTGGATGGGGTTACTGAGCTGAGAACCAAGCCAGAGGTCCGCGGGGCTGGGCCGCCGCCTTGCTCTGAGGCTGTCTTCAAGCCTGCAGTCCCGGGTTGGGTTAGGAGTCACCGCGGTCCGGGCCACGGTCAGGCTTGGTCGGGCACATAGGGCATTTCAGAGGCCAGATTGACAACCTGTGGCAGCAGAAGGACCCTCCCTTACTAGGGACCCGCGAAGGCGCCATTGCAAATTAAGGCTGAAGATGCCAGTGTGCGGCCTTTGGACGTCCTTGCATCCGTTGCCAGAAGCCCGGCACACAAATGTACCCTCTCTTCCATACTTTCAGTGCTTTGTTCGAAACTTTTCAAGAGACACAGCTCCACTTTTTGGAAAGAGGGGAAGAAAGCAAGAGAAATCACATTTGTGGAGCCCCTGCAGAGTGCAGAACTAGTTTTGTTTTTTTTTTTTCCTCTCACCCGTGTTCTCATTTAGTTGCCACACAACCCTTGGAGAGGTATTATGGATGTCACGTATAGTAGAGGAAACTGAGGCACGAAGAGGTGACTCACTAAGGTTACAGAGGTGGTAAGTAGCCGCAGGGAAATCCACGCCTGAGTGGATTTTCCGGTGGGCAGGAAGGATGGTGAGGGCAAATCAGGCAGGAGCTGTATCAGAAACGATGCGAGGGCCTGGGGACACTCTGGATCCCCAGACCCTAAGATTCCAGGCCTGCAGTCTCTCTCCAGCTCCCCTTCCCATCCCACATTGCTCGCTAACACGGTGGACCTGGGGCTCAGATTCAGCCCTCTCCTCTCCCCCTCCCAGCCTTGCCTTGGCCTCATAGGGGGAATGGAGGGAGCAGGGCAGCAGGAGGTAGGCAGTGAAGGCCTGGCTGAGAGCGGTGGCTGGTGAAACGTCTGCCTGACCCGACTGAAAAGAGGATCCCTGCCTTTGAGCAGAACCTTGTCTGACCGAATGAAAACTCCCACGGCCATTCTTTGCTATAAAAGCCGCTCATTTGCCACGGGTTGGAGAGGCCATTCCCCCACCCCCACTCTGTCTCCACTGCTGGGTTTGAAATAAGCATAAACCTCATTTATAAAAGAACCCACGTCACACACACACACACCCTCCCCGAAATCACAGGGCCTGGTCGGTGAAGTTGACTGTGTCTGTTCCTCTCCTTCCGTGTAAGCAAAAAGTTCTTCCCCCAGATCGGTGATACTGCAGGCTTCTTTAACAAAATAAAATGGTCACAGCAACAAGGAAAATCCCTCAGTCAACTCCTGGACCCCTATACCCCCTCTCCCACCTTCAGCCACCTTCTCGCCTCCTCCCTCCTACAAACTAAATAAAAAGCAGTAAAATTACTTTCCAGAATAGCCAGCTTCAAAGCAGAACAGAGGGCCAGGCTGCAGGAATCCTGAGTCTTGCCCTGATAAGGTTTGTAATAATCAAATCCAAACTCCATCCACCTCCTTTGACTCTTTCCAACCTCCTCCGGACCTCTCTGCATTTGTTGATGAAAACACTTTGATGTCCTGAGTCCTCCAAACAATTATTATTATAATTTTAAACAACCTGGTATTTTCCATTACTAACGGCTCAGGCTTTGAAGTTACACCTCATAATTTCCTAAATTAAATAAATCATTTTAAGTTTGCACTGGGAGGCTTTTAATAGCAGAGAAAGGAATATCATTATCTTATTGAGACCCAATTGTGGTGGCTCCAGTTTGGCTGTAGCTAGGGGCAAAGTAGGCTCACTCTAACAGACATACTTTATTAACCTCCCATAACTCTTGAAAGAACATTTTTATATTTTCTTTGATTTCCCCCCTCCCTATCTTGTTTTAAAGCTGTCCCAACCTTTAATTAGTGCCTAATATGAAAAGCATTATTTTTTTAATGCTATGTAATTTACCAGCGGCAACAGGCCAACTTAACAATTGTTTATTAGACTTGGATTTTCACACAGGGCAAAGAATGCCGCTCCAAACCCAACTTTTCATGGGTGGTTGCACTAATTAATACAGTGTCTGAGACTCCTAGGGGGTTTTTTAATATTGAAGCCTATGGGGGCGGAAGGGGGTTTTAGAAGTCCAGCTCCTGCCGACGAAGTTCTCTCTCTGATTTCTTTTCATGCTGTTTTGATCCTGTCTGTGGAGTCAGCACAGACAGAAACTGTGCCCTGGCTCCGAAGACTCCAGGATCCCGAGGCAACAGCCCCGGGAACCCCCAGCACCTCCGCTTATAACTTGGGGTGCAGAGAGCCCAAGGCTCACCCCAGCCTTGGATGCGGCGGTTCCCCTCCTCCCGCCTGGAAGGGGAAGGAGCTGGCCTGATGGCTTGGGCTGGGAAGGAGTCAGGCTCTTGGGGGCAAATGCCAGGTCTCCCAGGCACCGGGCAGCGCTTGGCTCTGGGCATAGAATTTGCTGAAACGCAGTCAGGAACAGGGATGGGGTAGGAGAAGGCTGGGGGCGGGGGGGAGGACCCAGGCTAGCTTCCTTCCTGTCTTTGCTTCCTCTGACTTTTCTGCTCCATTTTCCTCATTCTTTTGTCTCTCATTTTCCTTTCTCATCTTTCGCATTCCCTTCATTTTACCTTTCCCTTTTTTTTCTTTTTCTTTCTTTCTTTCTTTTTTTTTTTTTTTTTTTTTTTTTTTTTTGCTGCCCTGCTTTTATTACCTTTTCTCCTCCTTTCGTTCTTTCTCACGTCTGTCCCACTATATAGCTTTCTAACTATATAGCTTTTTATCTCTGTCTTCTTGTCGGTACCTTCTTTCCAAGTTCTCATTTTTAACTCTTTTCCCTGCCTTTCCCCGCCCCTTTCTTTGCCTGTCACTTTGCTCCTCCATCGCATCTCTCATTTTTTTTTTTTTTTTTCTGTTTTCTAATTGATTCTCATTCCCACAGTCTCCTAGTTCCCCCCTTCTCTTCTCTTTTCCATTCTGCCTTCCCCGGTTCCAGCGATTTCGTATCGGATTCCGGGAGCCCAGCCCAGCGCGTCAGGAGCGGTGCGCCCAAAGCTGCGCCCCAGCTCCGGGGACTCCTGGTCACCTCGTCCCTTCCGGCGCCCTTTCCTCTTAGGCTGCACCTGGCAAGCCAGCAAGGGAGTGACCCTTGCGCAGGAAGGGGGCGCGTCACCCGGTTTCCCCACGGAACCGTGGGCGTCGCGGGCGACAAGGGCAGCATCCAGGCACTCGGCCCCTTCCGCCCCGCCCGCTGCCGGCCGCCCGTTTGATGTCGCGGGCCCGGCAGGAATGCGGCCGGGTTATCAATCACCCAGCTGGATCCCGAAGGTCTCGGCCTAATCACATTTAATTGCTCGTGGAGGCCCACTCTCGCCCCGGGCCGGCCGCCGCGCTCAATTACTCCCCAAATACCTGCCATCAATAAATACGCGCTGACACTGGCCCGGCCCGCTCCACCGGCACGGGAGATCGCAGCCGACCAGGCGCCCT